CTTCCGTCGCCGCCAACTGAGGGGTGGAGACGACGGCAGCAGCGGCTACGGGATGCAAGGGAGCCGACGTGGCAGAGGACGTGGCTTCGGTGGTGCTGGACGCGGTGCAAAGAAAGACGACGACTCCAACGACCAACAAGGAGGTACCGGTTGGGGTCGCGGTGCGAAATCTGGACGTGGGGGCAAGTCGGGTGCTGGTGGCAAAATGAAAGGGAGTTGCTGGTATTGTGAGAAGGAAGGGCACCCCTGGTTTTTGTGCTATAAGAAACCCGATGGATGGACCCCCCAGAATCGTCACCAGGATGGCGGCGCGCGGAGGAACCAGAAAAACGGCGCCAACATGGTCGCTGATTCGTCCGACAACAACCCGAAGGGCAACGGCGGTGCGGAGAAGAAGAAGGAGCGCACCGCGGGCCAATTCTTCCATGTGGGAGACAAGGGGGAGCAAGGAGACGCCTCTGCCAAAGTTGGAGCAGAGCTGCACCCCCTAGACTATTGGGTGTTGGACACAGGCGCTGCTTGGACGATGACGCCGCGCAAGGACCTGCTGGACGAAGTACGAGCTGCACCGATCAATGAAGTGTGCTCCGCCTCTGGACACATGTTGAAGGTGGCTGGTGCGGGACGAGCTGCGTTTAAGGGAGCGGATGGCAAGCCGGTGGTGCTGCACGACGTTCTCTTCGTCCCCGACCTGAAGGCCAACCTTATCTCCCTCCGTAAGCTTGGCAAGGCTGGGGTGAACACCAACACGGATGGGGCACGCACTTATAAGGGGAAGCTGGGCAATCGGGTGCTTTGGGATCTGCACGAGAGCAAGGACGTGTACAGATCTATGTGGCAGCTGCCGGCCCTGGCGTGGCATGGTGGGGGGCAGGCTGGAGAGGGGTCTGCATCCCAGGGGGAGTGCAATGCCGTTGGAGGGGTTGGTGTGAAAGTGTCGGCCAGATCTGGGGAGACAGATTGGGCAACGGCACACCGGCGCTTAGGGCATGTGGCAATGCCTTTGCTGAAGCAGCTGGAGAAGGATGGAGCCGTTAAGGGTCTGAAGCTGAACGGACAGCCACCCGATTACAACTGTGAAATCTGTTTGCTTTCAAAGTTCACCCGTTTCCCTTTCCATAGTGTAGCTGGCAGGAGCAAGAAGCCTTTGGAGCTGGTCCACATGGACTTGGTGGGGCCGCTGCCGGTGCAAGGGCACAAGGGGGAGCGGTATTTTCTTACAATTGTGGATGACTGGAGCAGGCTGATGTGGGCGTATCCGCTGAAGCAGAAGGACCACGCCGCCTCCACGATACGGGACGATTGGCTGCCATTCGTGGAGAAGCAGGCGGAGGCGGAGTGTGTAGTGAAGCGGATTAGGACAGACCGGGGTGGTGAGTTCCTTGGAGCTGAAATGACGGCCTGGCTCAAGAAGCAGGGCATCCAGAGAGAGCTGACCACGGCTTATACCCCACAGTCCAATGGTGTAGCAGAACGGGCAAACCGGACCATTCTGGAGACAGCTAGGGCGCTGCTCATAGAATCTGGGCTGAGCAATTCTATGTGGCCTCATGCTGTCCGGCACGCCACTGTCGCTAGGAACAGGGTGCTCACCAAGGTTGGGGATGACTCGTGGGTGCCGTTGGAGAGGTGGCTTGGGAGGAAGCCGCCGGTGGACATGCTGAGGGTGTTCGGTTGCATGGCAGTCGCCCACGTCCCCAAGACCTACCGCAGTAAGTTGGGGGCGAGTGCAATCTGGTGTGTGCATTTGGGGCTGGCTGCTGAGAGCAAGGGATGGCTGCTGTGGGAACCATCCAAGGGTGTGTTGTTTGACAGCAGGGATGTGAAATTCATTGAGGGCATGATGTATGGGAGCTGGGAGAAACAGCCGGAGGCAAGGGTGTCCCAGCAGATGGAGCAGATCACCATGCAGCTGGACCTGACTCCTAGTGTGTGGGAGGAGGGAGAGGAGGCAGCTGCTGGAAATGGTGATGGAGAGAAGATACAGGAGGCATCTGCTGGTGGAGAAAATGGTGTGGAAACTGGCGGCAGCACTAGTGGAGCTGCTGGACCCGAGGGAGGAGAGAAGCAGCAGGGAAAAACTAAGAAGCCGAAGGGTGTCGTTATGAAGGGATGGGAGACACCCGTCTCCAGGCCAGGACGTACCCGTATGGCTACTAAGAAGCTGACTGCAGGAACTGATGCAGCAGAGCAGCAGCTAGGGACCGAAGAGGCATTGCTGATTCTACCTCATGGCTATGACCCGGATGAGGAGGATGAGCCTGCGTACTGTTTTCTTGCCCCTGCACCAGAGGAACCAGCTAGCATGGAGGAGGCATTAGCTGGACCAGATAGGGACAAGTGGCTGGCTTCTAGGGATGCTGAGTACCAGAGTCTGCTGGAGAATAGGACATGGGATCTGGTGGTGCTGCCTGATGGGAAGAAAGCGATACAATGCAAGTGGGTGCTGAGGATCAAGACCGATGACAAGGGGCAGGTCACCATCTACAAGAGTAGGCTGGTGGCGAAGGGGTTTATGCAGAAGGAGAAGCAGGACTTCAACGAGATCTTTGCTCCCACTGCCAAACCCCCTACCCTCCGTGTCTTGTTGGCAGATGCAGCTGTTAGTGGGAAATTCATCATTCAGATGGATATTTCAACGGCATTCCTGAATGGGATTTTAGAGGAGGATGTGTACATGACGCAGCCGCCTGGGTATGAGGATGGTACGGGCAGGGTGTGCAAGCTCAACAAGTCCATCTACGGCTTGAAGCAGGCGCCACGCTGCTGGTACCAGAAGTTGGCAGCTGTTTTAGAGGAGATGGGATTCAGGACCAGCAGCTGTGATGAGAGCCTCTTTCTCAAGGGCGAGGGGGAGAAGCTGGTGCTGTTTCTGGTCTATGTGGACGACATTCTTCTCTTCAGCAGCAGCATGAAGGAGATCCAGAAAGTGCAGCAGCAACTGATGGAAAACTTCAAGTGCAAGAACCTTGGGGAGGTAAAGTACTACCTCGGGATGCACGTGGAGAGGGATCCAGATCACAGGTGGTTGAAGCTGCACCAGGAGAAGTTCATCAAGGAGCTGGGGGAGAAGTATGGGATTGAGAATGAGCGCAAGGTTGCAACTCCCCTGCCAGCAGAATTCAAGCTTGTGAAGGCTGCAGAGGATGAAGGGGTTGAAGCTGAAGAGCAGCAGCAATTTCAGTCCTTGGTGGGCAGCCTCTTGTACGCAGCAGTTCACACGAGGCCCGACATCTCTTTCTCGGTTGGGCAGCTGGCTAGGGTGGTGCAGAATCCATCAGAGGAGCAGGTGGATGCAGCTGAGCGTGTGGTGAAGTACCTGAACTCTCACCCAAGCATTGGAGTTCAATACTCCGCATCTGCACAGGTGAAGCAGAAAGGGGTGGAGGTGCTGAAAGAGAAGGGGGAGAGGCTTGGAGAAGGCAAGCTATTTCTCACTTGCTTTACCGATGCTACGTGGGCTTCTGAGAAGGAGGATTCCTCATCTGTGGGAGGATACATCTGCGTAGTTGGGGGAGGACCTGTTAGTTGGAGGTCCAAGAAGCAGACGGAGACGGCACTCTCTTCCGTAGAATCAGAGTACATAGCGATGTTCCATGGGGTGAAGGAGGTGATTTGGCTGAGGAGGCTGTTAGAGGAGATTGGCCAGGAGCAGAAAGTTGCTACGCCGCTGTTTTGTGATAGCAAGGGGGCTCTTGGGATGGCCAGAAACGCTGTGCTTCATGGGCTGAACAAGCACATGCGTATCAAGTGGCACTGGCTGCGTAAGGAGGTGAAGAGGGGGACGGTGCATCCGATCTACATCAAGACTCACCAGCAGCCAGCAGACTTTCTCACCAAGAGGCTTGCGGATGAGCCTCATTGGCGTTGTGTGCGCATGAGTAGAATGAGCATGAACTAGCATGGAATGACGGGGATGCAGCCGGCAGGCTGAGGGGGAGTGTGTTGGGTGCAAATGCACATTGCACGACATCCTGCCGTCTGTTTGTACGAGTATGCGTGTGCGAATGCATTTGCGTGTGAATGGTGTGTTCGTGTGTTTGTTTGCTTTCGCATTTTTCGCTTGATCCATTTGCAGGTACTCGCGCAATGTGCGCTTTGGCACAACATTGTATGCGCTATGAACAGTGCAAGCAGGAAGGACGAGCTCGCAAAGGAACCCAAGATGGAAGCTTTGCAGTTCGGTTGAGTTGATTGCGCAGATTCAGTTCTATCCAACTCGGAATTGTACTGTTTTGTTTGGTTAACTATAGTGTAGCAGGGAAGGCACTATAGGGGTACAATTTAGGTGAAGGTTGGATGTTGTTTGTCTGTATCTGCATGCTACAAGGCCAGGGGAAACCAGCGGAACCAGCATTTGGCTGGTTGGGCAAAGACAAAACAGGTTCTGTTTTTAGAACCTGAACCTGGTTGTTGTTTTCCCAGGTTGGAAAAACAGAACCAGAGGTTGTTTACCAACCTACCACCTGCTATTTTGTCCAGCCAGGTTGGTTCTGTTGCTTGGAATTATTTGGGATCATCCCTGGTTGTTCCCAGGTTGATTCCCAAGGTCCTTGCTAGCTAGAACTATTTAATCCTTCTCTGTTTGTACCTGAATATAGTCAAATTGATTCAAGCGAATTCCTTCCTCGCTGGAATTTCGTTTCTGCGCTATTCGACGGCGGAATGCTACCCGAGTCAACGCTAGTATGCTAGCACTCCAACGCTAGGCAAACGCTGTCCGAGCCATAACTTAGTAATGGCAGAACTTTTCGCGAGGCAACTTGGCTCATTTTAAAGCTCTTGGAGCGAGCTTCGATATAGCGAATTCTCAGCTTAATCCGATCGACGGTCTGCACGGCACGCTGCGCGACGTTCAAGGTACTCTTGCTGTTTTGACTAAGTCCTTCTTGATCCCTCTCTCTACAAACTCGGACCCGAGGATAGGGGCTGGTCTTGTACCAGGCACCCAGGGACCCTTGGAGGTGACCCCGAGGAGAGGTTTTAAGTTTGGTTAAGTCCTAATAGCTTGAGTTTATTAGGCCCTTACACCAACAGTTGGCGCCGTTTTTCTGGTTCCTCCGCGCGCCGCCATCCTGGTGACGATTCTGGGGGGTCCATCCATCGGGTTTCTTATAGCACAAAAACCAGGGGTGCCCTTCCTTCTCACAATACCAGCAACTCCCTTTCATTTTGCCACCAGCACCCGACTTGCCCCCACGTCCAGATTTCGCACCGCGACCCCAACCGGTACCTCCTTGTTGGTCGTTGGAGTCGTCGTCTTTCTTTGCACCGCGTCCAGCACCACCGAAGCCACGTCCTCTGCCACGTCGGCTCCCTTGCATCCCGTAGCCGCTGCTGCCGTCGTCTCCACCCCTCAGTTGGCGGCGACGGAAGTCCTCCTCCAGAATCTTCGTCCGCACCCACTCGAGCGTCCACAAGCTCTGGTTCTGCGGCAGGCTCAATCCGCTCGTAAATTGAAGCCACGATTCCGGCAGCAGCGAGAGCATCTTCAAGCACTTGGTCTGCTCCGGGTAGGTGATTCCCGCGGTCGCCAACTTCGCGTAGAGGTCGCGCATCTTGTCCAGGACTGGTTGCACCGGCTCTCCCTCGCTCAGGCGCAACGCGGACAGCTCCCTCTCCAGCATCAACGTTGCGACAACGGAGGTCGGGGCGTGCAGCTCCTTCAACACGGTCCACGCCTTCGGACCGCATTCAACCTCCGGCAGCAGGTGCATGACGTGGTGACGCTGGTTCAGCTCCAAACTCTGCGACATCAAATAGTAGCCAGCCGAGGAGCGCTCGTCCCAATCTTCCTGCAGCGTGGGGTCACTCGGTCTAGGCTCCTCCCCAATCATTAGTTTCAGCAAACCGATCTGACGGAAATATAATTGCATTTTCCAGGCCCAATCATCATAGCCCTCACCATTGAACTTCTCGACGGTGAAATTCTTCAGCACCTCCTTGACAAGCGAGCCCTGGTTTGTTCGCGCTCCCCGTGGCGCTGAAAGACCAGAATCTTGGCTGCCGCTACGATCTTGGGCTGAAGATTCACCAGCTCCCGCCGAGGTGTTGCCCGCCATAGCTACCTATAACGAGGATCACTATAACGCAGCTCTGATACCAGCTTGTTTGTGTAAGGGCCTAATAAACTCAAGCTATTAGGACTTAATCAAACTTAAAACCTCTCCTCGGGGTCACCTCCAAGGGTCCCTGGGTGCCTGGTACAAGACCAGCCCCTATCCTCGGGTCCGAGTTTGTAGAGAGAGGGATCAAGAAGGACTTAGTCAAAACAGCAAGAGTACCTTGAACGTCGCGCAGCGTGCCATGCAGACCGTCGGTCGGATTAAGCTGAGAATTCGCTATATCGAAGCTCGCTCCAAGAGCTTTAAAATGAGCCAAGTTGCCTCGCGAAAAGTTCTGCCATTACTAAGTTATGGCTCGGACAGCGTTTGCCTAGCGTTGGAGTGCTAGCATACTAGCGTTGACTCGGGTAGTATTCCGCCGTCGAATAGCGCAGAAACGAAATTCCAGCGAGGAAGGAATTCGCTTGAATCAATTTGACTATATTCAGGTACAAACAGAGAAGGATTAAATAGTTCTAGCTAGCAAGGACCTTGGGAATCAACCTGGGAACAACCAGGGATGATCCCAAATAATTCCAAGCAACAGAACCAACCTGGCTGGACAAAATAGCAGGTGGTAGGTTGGTAAACAACCTCTGGTTCTGTTTTTCCAACCTGGGAAAACAACAACCAGGTTCAGGTTCTAAAAACAGAACCTGTTTTGTCTTTGCCCAACCAGCCAAATGCTGGTTCCGCTGGTTTCCCCTGGCCTTGTAGCATGCAGATACAGACAAACAACATCCAACCTTCACCTAAATTGTACCCCTATAGTGCCTTCCCTGCTACACTATAGTTAACCAAACAAAACAGTACAATTCCGAGTTGGATAGAACTGAATCTGCACAATCAACTCAACCGAACTGCAAAGCTTCCATCTTGGGTTCCTTTGCGAGCTCGTCCTTTCTGCTTGCACTATTCATAGCGCGTACAATGTTGTGCCGAAGCGCACATTGCGCAAGTACCTGCAAATGCATCAAGCGAAAAATGCGAAAGCAAACAAACACACGAACACACCATTCACACGCAAATGCATTCGCACACGCATACTCGTACAAACAGACGGCAGGATGTCGTGCAATGTGCATTTGCACCCAACACGGTCGTCCGTCGCTTTGTAGGTATGCATGATGTACTGCCACGCTTGGTAGCCAGCATCCACTCGAAATATGCACGACTTCAATACGACTTGCACGAGAGACGAGCAACACCTTGAAATGACCATAAAGGTCAGAAGGTTAGCAGTATGAAATTCTGACCAGAGCTCGACATCCTCCTCGTTCGGTGCCAAAACATTTCCGTCGACGAACTTCTTCAATCCGGCGATCTCCAGCTGAGGCTCGATGGATTCGATCCATGTGATCAAGTCGTGTCGACCTTCGAGCAGCTTCGGCACAGTGATCTTGTCCGGCGAAAAAATTAAAATAGCCGTACGATGACATGATGCCTCCGTCTCGACCAGCCGATGCATGAGTTGCCGAAGACGGCCTGACTCTTCTCCGCTGAGGAGATCGACGTTGACTATCGATGTTGCCCTGAGAGCTGCCTCCAGTCGCAGACGATCGCAGCACTTGCACTTGCACTCCGCCAACACAGACGTCAGCAGCCCGAATCACAGCGCGAACCCTCGTGCTTCCACTGCCGACAATATTGCCGCCGTCACCTTCGTTGTGCACGGGTTGGGGAGAGGTGGATACGCCGTCTGCTTCAGCACGGGGAGGGGGATGCTCACGTGCCCACTGCGCACGCGTTCCAAGGAGCAGTATCTGCAAGTCCGCCTCGCCGTACGCGCCAGCCTCATCGCGTGCCCGAACACCATCCAACCGCGCCTGCAGAGTATCTTCTACTCCTGCATCGACACCTTGGTCGTCCATGGCGGTCTAAACGGTTGCCTACCCACAACAACTTATGTATTGCTTGCGCAAAAGTCGGCTCCTATTTGAAGGTCTAAATGCGGGGTCATTCCACACTCACAGCACCATGCGCACTTACTCTTGGTATCAACTATATGGGTAGGTTATGCACTTACTCTTGGTACCAAGTATCTGGGTAAGTAACGCACTTAGTCTTGATACCAAGAACATGGGTAAGTAACGCACTTACTCTAAGTACCTACGATTTGAGTAGGTACCAACCATATGGATAAGTAACACACTTACTCTTTATACGAACCATATGGGTAAGTAACGCACTTACTCTTGATACCAACCATATGAGTAAGTGAAATATGTTACTCTTAGTACCAAACATATGGATAAGTAATACACTTACTCTTGGTACCAACCATACGGGTAAGTAACCCACTTACTCTGCATACCAGCCTTATAAGTAGATAAAGCTTTTACTCTTGATAACGAGGATATGGGTAAGTAGCGCACTTACTCTTGGTACCAACCATATGGGGAGCTAGCGCACTTACTCTTGAGTACCAACCATATGAGTATGTATCGCGCTTACTCTTGAAACTGGCCATATGGTAAGTAATGCACTTACTATGAATACCAACCATATGAGTACGTACCGCACATACTCTTAGTATCGACCATATTGATACCAACCATACGGGTCTCTAACGCACTTACTCTTACAGGTAAGTAAAGCATATACTCTATGTACAAACCATATGAATAAGTAACGCACTTACTTTCAGTACCAACCACTTGGATAGGTAACACACTTACTAAAGATATCAAAGATACGAGTAAGTTGTCAACGGGAGTTGGGTGTTGGCCCCGTCCTCGCTTGGGCGGAGCCGACTTCGTGGTCGAGTGTACGGGGAGTGCAGTTGACCTGCAGCAGTAGGCGATGCCAAGTTGGGCGAGCTGGTCGACGGGTTTGGTTGACTCACACGGGGCCAATGCAAAGCCGCCGACTTTGGGATGCCGGCTGCCTTCTACGGTTGGACGACATCGGGGCTGAGCGAGCTGGGAAGGGCGCCGAATTGAAGGGCGCCGACTTTGGGAGGTCCACCTGAGGAGGGCGTCAACTTGGTAACGCCGACCTGGATAGCCGACTTGGTGCAGTCGGCGAACAGTTGGTCTGGTCGACCACAAGTGGTCGACCTAGCGGAGTGGCTGACTTCGTGAAGTCGGCAGAAAATGGTCGTCGACCTGGGTGGTCGACGGGCACAACGAGCAGCACCTAGTCGTCGTGGTTGCCCGGTCGACCAAGTTACCCGGGCGACGGGGATCTGTAGAGGTGTGCGACAGTCAGCCAGGTGATTCTGGCAAAGCTGACCTCGGAGATAGTATCCCAAGATCGATGTGCTAGATCAGGTGCAGCCGTGGGCACGTGGTCGGCTTGGCGTCTGCGTTGTGCACGTGACGGGGCACAGCACGCCAACTAGCTGCGAGCACCTGCGAAGCGGTACACTGCTCTCATATGGGTGCAAAGCTGTGCGTGCAGCATTGGCACGCCGTCGAGTTGCATTATTGGCAGGCCGCCACTTTGCAATGGTGGAGCGCGGTCGACCTTGCAATGCGGTTCGGTTGAATTGATTGTGCAGATTCAGTTCTATCCAACTCGAAATTGTATTGTTTTGTCTAGATGACTATAGAGTAGCATGGCAAGCACTATATGGGTACAATTTAGGTGAAGGTTGGATGTTGTTTGTCTGTATCTACATGCTACAAGGCCAGGGGAAACCAGCAGAACCAGCATTTGGCTGGTTGGGCAAAGACAAAACAGGTTCGGTTTTTAAAACCTGGACGTGATTGTCGCTTTCCCAGGTTGGAAAAATAGAACCAGAGGTTGTTTACCAACCTACCACCTGCTATTTTGTCCAGCCAAGTTTGTTCTGTTGCTTGGAATTATTTGGAATCATCCCTGGCTGTTCCCAGGTTGATTCACAAGGCCATTGCTAGCTAGAATTATTGATTCCTTCTCTGTTTTCCCCTGAGTATAGTCAATTGATTCAAGCGACTTCCTTCTTTGCTGGAATTTCGTTTCTACATGGTTTGACGGCGAGTCAACGCTAGTACGCTAGCACCCAATGCTAGGCAAACACTGTCGAGCCATAACTATATAATGGCATAACTTATTATTAAGTTCTTGGAGCTAGCTTCGATATAGCAAATTTTTAGCTCAATCCGATCGACGGTCTGCATGGCACGCTGCGCGACGTTCAAGGTACTCTTGCTAATTTGGCAAGTCATTCTTGCTCCCTCTTTCTACAAACTCGGACCCGAGGATAGGGGCTAGTTTTGTACCAGTCACCTAAGGACCCTTGGAGGTGACCCCGAGGAGAGGTTTTAAGTTTGATTAAGTCATAATAGCTTGAGTTTATTAGGCCCTTACACCAACAAGCACCTCACTTACTCTTGGTACCAGCCATATGGGTAAGTAACGCACTTACTCTTGATACCAACCATATGAGTATATAACGCACCTAATATTTGTACTAACCATATAGATAAATAACGCACTTAATCTAGGTACCAACCACATAGGTAAGTAACGCACTGACTCTTGGAAACAACCATGTGGGTAAATGACGCACTTACTCTAAGTGCCAACCATATCGGTAAGTAGCACACTTACTCTTACTACCAACCATATGGGTAAGTAACGCACTTGCTCTTGGTACCAACCATATGGGTAAGTAATGCAGCTGCTCTTGGTACCAACCATATGGGTAAATAGTCACTTACTCTAACTACCATCCATATGGTAAAGTATCGCAATTGCTCTTGGTACCAACCATATGGGTATAACGCACTTTCTCTAAGTACCAACCA